ATATATATATATAGGAACCGGAACCTCTATAAGAAATTTCGATTCCAAAAAATATTTAATAGGATAAGTATACGGATAAGATTTCGAATAACCATTTAAAAACTCTTTAATCTATATTCAATGAACCGTAGCTGAGATTCAAAAAAACTATAATGTGAAATATACAAAAAAAATTAAATTCACGCACTTGATATAAATTAAAAATGTCTGATGTTTAATTCTGTGATCCTTCTGTTAATAATAACCATTACGAAATACATAAGCATCTCACTTTTTTTCAGCAAGAAAAATATTTAAAGAAACTAATCAAATGCACGATTTACAGTTTTGTAAAGGTTGAATTATGTACGGAGATCTTATAAATAAGTACTGACTTATTTTTTGTCCAATACTATTTTTTAAAAATCTATTTCATTTTAATTTCTATGTCTTGCGAGCATAGAATTAGAATACTATTTCAACACATCCATTGGTTAACTCTCTTTTTTATTATCTTTTGAACAGTGTTTTCCCGCCAGTTTCACCAAGGAAAAAAAAGCTATAGTTTAGGAGCCTTACAATCAATGCTAAGGTATAATTTCAAGTTGTACATACCATCGTGCTGTAAATATTTATCTGGGCTTTGGATCATGCAAATTTCTTAAATGTGTTAAAGCTATTTAATCTTTTGAAAAATTTGTAAATTTTAGTGAGACCTAAATAAAACTTTTCCACATAAATGAAAATTCAAAATCCACGAAATATTTCTGTTTTTGCAGACTTGCTTCAGACCAGATAAGGCAGCGTCATAATAAGTTTTGAAATATGAAGAGATTCGATAGCAAAGGCTTTTCCTTTTCTCAAAACTGTAGTTTTCCTTCTTAGTAATGCTTTGTACCACTTTCATAAGTAGCATACATAACACTGGCAAAAAAAGATAATATAAAGCTGATATAACAGTCACGAACATTCTTCCAGCCGTCATAAAAATAGCATAGCAGTTACAAAAAACCGTAGTGTAGTGTGAGAAAAGCTGTTTTTCGAAAGCTCTGATCAAGTTTAGCCTTTTTTTAGCCAGCAAACTCTGTGTTTATTTTAAAAATGGTGCAAAACGTCAATTTGTAAAAAAACGCTGTTTTGAAGAAATGAAAAGCATTTAAGGTTTATTTTTTAATATTAAAAAACTTACTTCAATACTGTACTATCTGGGCTCATGAAACTTTGCAAAAAATGGAAATAAGGTATTGATTTTGATAGTGTTTATCAAGGTGGGAAAATGTCGCTAAATTGGAGCCAATTTCATTTATTTGTTCCTTCTAAAGCTCAGATAGTTCTTTAGTACAAGATGGCACAGTTTAAAATTGTATCTTTTTTTCACGTGTGGGGCACTTAAACTGTCGCTTTTTTATTATTCTAGGCGAAGGAGCTTCGATAAACCATGTTAAATGAAGAAGACTGCGGATAACCAATGCGGACAAATTTGCCTCCATTCCCTATAGAAATCACTCCCCACAAAACATCACGAAATCAGACACATAAACGAATTTTCTCTAAATAAACATAAATTTTTTAAACATATCTTCTAAATAAATAATCGGATTTCTGAGCCTAAAATATAGGGGGTAGCTGCAATCTGGGAAATATGGTCTTATATGTTTGGTATAGAGAGCGGTCCAAAGTTTGGGCCGTTATGTTAATTTTAATTTTTGCGTATATGAATTGCGCAAATGCTTATTTTGTAAAAATATTATATATCTAGTAACTCAGACCAGTGATGGCTCAGGGGATAGATCGTCCAGTCTTCCAATGAGGTGAACCGGGTTCGAATCCCAGCGATGACTGATCGATACGAATCCCGCATTCTGCTTGCACCGACTACAGTGATGATGTAAAATATCCGCAGTTCTGGCGAATCATGGGTTAGAAACCCCTTACCGTCAGGCTAAAACCGGGGGGGGGGTATCTTTCCTCTTTATATAACGCAAATGCGGGTTTATTCCATCAAAAAGTCCTCCTCGAAGGCAAATTTCTCCCAATATTTGATCTGGATTGGGTTAAAAACTACAAGGACATGGAGTTGAATATTAGAAGTCGTAAACCCAAAATATGGGTTGGTTGTTCAACGACGATTATAAATATAAATATCTTACATTTCAAAAATGTTTCTACTATTAATAAAAAAAATACTAAGTATTAATAAAATGTTATATATTCCATGGAATTATTTTTAGATATATGATTTTATAATTGTGGGTAAAAAAATTTCAATTCACTTACAAAGTTCTCAAGATATGGTGAAATACACAAAAATTCAAATTAACATTGTGAGGTCTAAATTTGGATAGCTCTCCGGACTAAATTATTGGGACTATATTTTCCAGATTGCTGCTACCCCCGATATTTTGAATCTGCTACTGAATCTGTTTATCCGAACCTGTGACTTAAAGGAAGTATGTTTTTGTGTCTAATTTCGTAACTTAAAATATTGTCAGCACTAATTAATTAGTATATTTGAAATAATGCCCACAAACGTTTAAGATCGAATCCTAGAGCATGAAAATCGGATCATTAGATCAAAGCTTATTCAGGGTTATTCAGGATCAAATGTTATTTTGAAAATTGTACGTTTATTTTTACGATTGCAAAACTGAAATTAATGAAAAATGTTATGTAATTACAAACTCAATATTATGGTTAAAAAATACTTTTTTGTGCTCAAACATTGTTCAGGTTTTTTTTTTTTATTTCACCGATATTTAGGACTAAGCAACGCGCGTGAATTCTCGTTTAATGTTTAAATAACTTATTATTATCATATATTATTCAAATAAATACCATTATTTTCTGAATAAAAACATGTTTTATTTAAATTACATACATGATTCGAGATAGACAATAAATGTTTTCTTTTATTACTTATTTCTTCTGCTCCTAAATCTGAAACAAAAAAAACTTACTTTTACATTTAAAATTTCCAAATGAGTAGAAAACACAATTTAATATACCTACACAAGTCCTATATTGCATCTATCAGAACAGATGACTTAAAAATATAATAATTCTCTAATTAATCACTCTTTTTCAAACGAATAGTTCAAGAATAATTTATTTAATAATAAAACTTCCTCATTAAATATTTCATAAATATAATAATTAGTATATGCTGCGATGTTATGTGACTCCTTCTTTAAATGTTACTGTCTTAGTTTTCTTGTCATTACTACTTATTTCCTTTTATAGCTATTAATAGCTTATTTGTAGAAGACATGCTAATAGAAAAGCTATTTTATCGAAAATAGTATAATTAAGTAAATATTTGACTTAAGAAACTTGCTCGGAAATAATAATTAAGTAACAATTCCTTTGTTATTCTTCCATATTTAACTATAACAGTCAAATAACCACAGCAAGAAAAAGAAATCGAAACTGGTAACTGTGAGAAAACAACTAGAATTTTATCCACGTCAATAAGGCACACCTTATGACTCCGCTTAGTGCATTGCAGCTGGGTACAAACTACAACCGATAGGGCTAATCTGTTTGTCTCAAGACCGGCTGAACGGAAGTTGGAGTCTTAGCGTTCAGAACATAATATTTCCTACGCTCCTTTAACAAATGAAGAGTTTATATTGTCCTGTGCTCTCCAATTGGTTACCCTGGACTATTAGAATGCGAACCCTCATTCACGGACTGATAGCAGTATCAGAGATTCTTAAAACAAAAAAGCCTAGTATTTCCCTTTTCGCACGATAAATGGCACTCCAGATAAACCTATTAATTCACTCGTTCCACGGTTCACTTGACAAAACTTAACCCCAACCTAACACCGATGTCCATTATCTAACAAAAAGCCTAACACAACAAAACTCTATTTTCAATGCAACTGAATCTTGATTGTATGCTTATTGAGTATACTGTAAATACGCTGTATAACTACTGTATAATACTATTGTGCACTGTATAATTTTGACTGTAGAATTATTAACTTCATATTTACTGTAGGATTTTTGAGTTTGGATCAATTACAAAATTACAGCAATTTACCAAATGCAATAATACAAAATGCAATAATAGCAATGCAACTTTAGTTCTTTGACCTCTAAACGTCTGTGGGTGAATCGACCAAATCGCCACTGTCTTCAAGCTGTATTTTTTTTCCTTTTTACTTCGGTGACTTTTTTTAAAATGGGTTTCTATAAGCACAAATGATGCTTTACAGTAAGAAGGAATATTATAATAATGTATTAAAAATGATTTTTGTAAGAAAATTGCCTAAATCTCTACAGCATCAATCATCAATCATCAGCATCAATCATCAATATCAATTATTTAAATTAAAAAAATAATATATTTAAATATAATATAGATTTAAATACATCATTAATTATAACCAAAAATAATAAACATGAAAATAAAGGTATAATGTTTAAAATAATTGTAAACTTTGCGAGCATCTATCCAAAACATACTATTATGGAAATTGAAACATGAAGATCAGAACAATATCATTTCGTAACTAATCGAAGAAATCAAAAATCCTTAAATGCAAGTAATTGTACTTAAAAATAATTTTCGAAATTCACCTGTATTTAGGTAATTTTAGGTATTATATAATTAGTAATTTAGGTAAAAAATTCGGAAATTAAGTAACCATTTATAGATTTATAATTCACATCTTTGCTAATCTAATTCATCTAAACTTCAATAGTTATGGAATGGGACTCGGAAAAAATTTTCAATATTTATCCCTAAATGCTATTTCGGGATTTCTAATGTGCTTACTGCTTTATTTTTTATGAAGATTCTATATTAGAATATATATTAAAGGCAGCCGTTACGGAACACTCTGCTGCAAACAAACCTTCCTTCAAATTACTTACTTTATGAAAATAATGACTAGAGTGATTGTAGATATCAAAAGAAATCCTGATGTGATGCATAGTAATATGAATAATAGTGGACTGTATTCACCTTTATCTGAAAAATACACATGAATTTTTTGTAAAAAAATTATATTAAAAGTTTTTTTTTCATTTCAGATACAGCAAAAGCAGAAGCATTTTTTTCAATTTTAATTCAATGGTTAAACGTAGTTTTTGTATTTTTGTGTAAGCATGATTTTTTTTTTAAAAAAAAAAAGCTTGTTGCAACTATCGTAAAATTTGACGAATAAAGAATTCTTTTTTCGATTAAAATGTCGTGAAATTGTCAATTTATATGAATGTTGATTCTATTGCAAACGATATAAGCTCCTCAATATCTCTCCATAGCGCGTGGGAAATGTCATCCTGTCCTGATTTGCCTCTATTGGCCACTGTGGTTTTTCGATTTTTGTTCTTATAATTAAACTTATTTTCAATTGCTATCAATGTTCTGCTCCCGACTCGCACCACCCACAGTGCTGACGTAAAATATATTCAGTGGTAGACGAATCACGGGTTTAAAGTCCTCTTACCATGAAGCTAACCGTGGGAGTTCTCGTACCTTTCCCCTCCGTGTAACACAAATGATGTTTAGTTTCATCTAAAAGTCCTCTACGAAGGCAAATTTCAACCACTACTTAATCCAGAAGTTCCCTTATTTTCTGGATTGGGTTCAAAATTGCAAGGCTATGGAGTTGAGCATCGGTAGTCGTAAACTCAAAAAAATGGGTCGGATGTATAGCGACGGTTATAAAATAAAATAAAATTGTTTTTGATGACTATTTTACATTTTCTGTCTCAAATCTCACTCGCTTTTATCATTTTTTGATGAATCTTCAGAATTTGGCACCCATTTCTGAGTGTTCGAAATAAGTTTACCTGCTCCACCTTCATTCATTTCTTAAATAAATGAAGTTTTTACAGTAATTTTTTTTTTTAAAAAAGGGAGTTTTTTCCAGATAAGTAGTTATTTGTTTTTGTTTACATACTTCTCGTTAAATTATAAAATTTAATGATATGAATTAAATTTTAAATATGTATTCATTTTACTTAACCTAACTATGTTGCCATATATTAAGTCACCTTTGCATAAGTCACCTTTGCATTAAAACAAACTTTGCATATATTAAGTCACCTTTGCATTAAAACATAGATGCTTCCGCACTTTCTTTACTGTACATATTTTACATCAGCTCATTTTTCTCACCTGTGACTTCTTCACATCGATGTCCAAAATATCCTGGAGGACAGTCACAAAATAAGTAGGCTCCAATACGATTACAATGTGCACCATTTTCACATTTATTTTTATAGAAGTTGCATGTTTCTAAGAAATAAATCAGGTCATCATTAAAACACTATTCCTACATTGAATTATTTAAATGAATGATAAATTTCACACAGTGAGCAAAAGTAAAAAGGGAGCACCTTTAGTGGTTACTGCAAAGTAAAATGTTCGAAAAATTGAAAAAAGGATTATTGTATTTTTAAATAGTTTATCCTTTTAAGATTTTTGAACCAAAGTACTGAATTGATTTTCGAAAAAAGGTAAAACTTACAGCACAATATGTCGAGAGTAACGAAGGACGAGCTATGACATGTATGAACAAGTAAATTTGCCAGCTCAGTTGTTTAATGGATTTGATCACTCTTATCAAAACATTTTAGTAAAATACTATCCTTTTAACTATTTTAATGAAATAATTTGTTTAGGTTATGTTAGAAAAAGAATTAATGGTACTTTCAATATAAATAGTTGAAATTGCAACTTATTTAGCTTTAGGTTGCAAGAAGTTATTGATAGTTTTGGAACAATTGGAACTAAATATAGGCCCAACAGCCAAAGAATAAACTCAAAATGAAGCTGACGGCAGAATTTCAGCTGCTACTCTAAAAATGTATGAGGTGCCACAGGAAGGTATAGATCGATAGTTAAAAGGGCTAGACTAGCACTTGAGGATGAAAAAAATGGAGATTTGTATTATTTAAGGTCGAAAATATTTTTAGCTGTAATATTTACAAAGTTTTACACCAATTTTATCTACTCGATTTTAAGTGATGAAATCCAAATTTTAGGAGATTCGGTCGAAGATGCAAGGCTCTTAAGATGGAGAAATGCGCAGAAGTTAAATCAACATTTAGATGTTCAAACCTTTAACAGCTTTCCTGCTGAAACTATTGAAACAATATTTTCTGGATTGCGACTGACTCTTATATTTTGAGGGTCAAGAATCCGAATACATCGTTGAAGAATGTACGTCTTTGTACGAGGTTAAATAACACAAACTAATTTGCTTTTTTGCCATTAGGTTCTCGAAGTTTTAATATCAAGTACTAGAAAGTGAAATAAAACCGACTCTATTTGGTGAATAGGGCTGTCTATGGGCTGAGAAGATTTATTAAATCTAGGTTTCTTTCTAAAAAAACAAAAGTTCTAAATCTACAAAACTCTTGTCCGGCCAGTCTTGACATACATTTCTGAAGCTTGGACAATGACAAAATTGGAAGAAAATTGTATCGCAATATTTGAGAGAAAGATTTTGCGGGGTATACTTGGTAGTGTAAATGAAAACAATAACTGGAGAAGGAGATTTAACTCTGAACTGTACAAGATTTATAAAAAACCTGATATTATTCAATACGTAAAAATAAATAGAATGAATTGGATAGCCCACAAGATTCGAATGAGTGACGACAACACAATAAAAAAGATACTGCCTCTTAGATCCACTGGAAAAAGAAAGCGGAGAAGGCAGCGATTGAGATGGGCTGACTCAGTGGAGTCTGATTTTCTCGCAATTAATGAAAAAAATTGGAGATCAAAGATAAATCGGAAGTAGTCATGGAGAAATCTTCAGAGGAAGGCATTAGCTCACATTGGGCTGTCTGGCCAACTATGATGATGATGATGATGAGAAAGTGAAATTACAATCATTAGATCAAAAGTTAATTTTAAAAAATTTCGCTTTTTGTAAAATTTAATTTACCTCTGCATGTAAGAGATTCTTCATCGTATTTAAGACCATTGTCACATAAACATTCAGCGCCTCTAAAATCCATGTTAATTCCACACCTTGCTCCACTATTCTCATTGCATATCACTTTTTGACTTTCACAATCGTCCACAATTTCGCATTTGTGTCCATAGGAACGCGGGATACATCTACAGAAACTGTAGTTACCTTCTTTTTCACACATAGCTCCATTTTGACAATCATTCTTTTGAGGATTACATATTTCTAAAATTTAAATGAACATTGAATTTAATACATCTTGATGAAAAATCACTAGCACTTTCAAAATTATATTTCTGCCTATCTCCTTAAAATTCAAAGAAAAACGCTATTGAATTCTTTTAAATCATGCAAAAAAATTTAATTATAACTGTTAATTTTTAGCAGTTTTTAACACAAAAATGTTTATTCAAATGAGAGATGCTGATTCAAATAGTTTAATTATTGGTTTAAATCTATCAATTTTAATTTATTACGCAAATTATAATATACTTACTTAATTTATTTGAAAAACTACGGATTTATGTCAATAAAAAGTTTCGAATAGTTGCTGTTGTTGTTGTAGCTCATTTACATTGCACTAGAGCTGCACAATGGGCTATTGGCGACGGTCTGGGAAACATCTCTGCGGATGATCCGAAGACATGCCATCACAATTTTGATCATCCGCAGAGGAGATGGCACTCTTGTCTCGGTAGCCCGAGAACCTGCACGCGAAGTCGAGCACTTTACTGTAGAACAGAATAACAAGGACCAATACCGCACATCCTTGGTCCCTACGCAGACTAATCCAAGTGGTCACCCACCCGCACACTGACTGCAGCCATTGATGCTTGACTTCGGTGATCTGCTGGGAACCGTGTTTAAATGATCTGTCCACTGCGAAACAGATTCTAATAGAATTAACATGGATGTCTTTGTTGTCCTTAAATTGCTGACAATTCTATTTTTAATTAATTAAAAAATTGCATGATTTGCTTTTGCTAGCTAATAATCAAATCAAATTTGAGTTTAATTTGAGGTTTTAGTACATGTTTATAGTAATTATTCATCGCTAGTATCTTAAAACAGTTAAACCCAAGCAAAACTGATATTGGAAAAGAAGAGGTGACATCACCAAAATACTAAAATGAAATATTTGTTTTTATTTACTCTTGGCGCAATACAAAAAACTGATCGCCCTTAATATTTTCTGATATAATCTTCACGTTCTAAGATTCACTTTTAATGGTTCGAAGGGAGACCACAAATATGCTAATAATTAGTGCAGATGACACTTTAAAGTTAAGAAATCAGACTCAAACACTTACTTTCTCTGATGAAACATTCCTTTTTTCGACGCATATGGATTTCGGATAAAAGTACTTACGGAAAAAAATACTTACTTTTTCGAAATTTGATTCTCGATTTGAACTCCTCAACTGGTTTGCATTCTTTAAAATGGCATCGAAAATTATGTAACTTACAATTCAAACTTTTTTCAACTGTTAATAAATAAAATAATAAAAAATAATTACTAAAATCTATATTTCGTATGGAATTACCTTTGAATAAGCGAATGTTTTAATTGTGTGCAACTTTTTTTTCAATTCGCTTAAACATTTCTTGAAAAACAGCGAAATACGTATAAAATAAAAATAGACATTAAGGGGTTCAAACTTTAGACCGCTCTCCTGACCAGACCAAACTAATGGGACCATATATCCCAGATTTCTACCCCCTATAATTTAGGGGTCAAAAATCCGAATGCGTGAAAAAAAGGCCTGTTTATTCAGCCAAAGTATGCTTTTGTCTCAGATTTCCTAACTTAAAATATCATCTTGACTAGTTAACTAGCATATTTGACGTCACCCCTAGAACCATTAAAATTGAGTCTTAAAACCGTGAAGATCTAATCATTAGATAAAAAGTTATGCAGGGTGGTCAGTTTTTATTTTGCACACTGTCCAAGACATTCCAAATTACGCTTATTCATACGCGAACCACGTTATTGTAAATAAAAGGACTCCTACTTTAAATTAATTATTCATTAATTAAATTTAAAAGAAATATGCATAATCAAAGAAACTGCCATATTTAAGCATTTTAACGCTAATTAATATAACTAGCCGACATTGCGAATAGCTTGGTCACCTTTCAAAATTATCTTATACAACATATAAACTTCAATTGTAACCAAACAAACTGCACAGAGCATTACTGTATTTAAATATTCTAAATCCTCAGTCCTTCCTCTAAACCTAACACCTTTGTGTTATTATAAAGGCGAAAGATAAGATAGTTTTAAACAAGATATTACTCAAATATTTTCACTGTCTAGCTGTTACCCTTACTTGGCACACGCGGAAATACTTTGATTTCAGTTTTAATGATTTTCATAAGATGACCGTGATATTGTCAAAGTTCTTACGATAATTGATAATAATTGAAATATCTGCCCAGCAGTCGTAGGTCAAACAAACCACCGAAAGAGTGTGAAACCTTTCAAGCATATTAAACGGAAGTATTAAAATTATTTCCATCTTTGTCAAGAAATAAGATAGAAAACGCTTCCTAATGCTTTACTACGTGCTGAACAGCTATCTCACACACCTCTCGAGCTATAATTTGAGTATTGTATAATGGATATTACCGAAAAAGCCATGCCCCGATACTAATAAACGGTATGACAGCGGCATATTTTACTAGAGAATAATACATAAATTTATTTTTAAAAAATAAGCCGTTGCAATTGTTTCACTAGGTTGCTATAAGTTATATATAGGCTTCATTATACACTATCTTGAAGAAAGTGACGGGACACACCTCGAAAAGTAGAAAAGTCGACAATACAGCTGATACATGCGCACTAATAAGTATCACGTGTCAGCCATATCCTATAAATACTCTGTGGAGTCGACTAGATTTGTTTTTGTCAAGATGCCGCCACGGAAACAGTTGTCTGAGTTCGAGAAAGGAGTGTTAGTTGGATTACATCTTGCCAATGTGTCAATTAGGGAGACATCCCGTCTCCGTAACTGCTCAAAATCAACTGTTCCACGTTTTTTGTGTCGCTACAAGACTGAGGGACTCTCTGGGACGAATTGTACCGTTGGTTGAGAGCCTGCATCCCACTCCCCAAAAGCAAGCATGAACTATGGAACTTCCTGTTAAATATTTGGAAGGAAATTTCTCTTGCCACTATGGCTAATTTAGTGGAAAGCATGCCCAGAAGGGTTGCAGCTGTGATCGCAGCCAAAGGAGGCCCTACCTCCTATTAATTTTGATAAATATAGGTTTATGTCGTTATAGTGTCGTGTCCCATCACTTTCTTCCAGATAGTGTATATAAGCTTCAGAAAATCATATTTATTTTGACCATAATTTATCAAACAATATTTAATCTGAAAATATTCTGTAACACTATTTAGCTGACATTTATTTTTAAGAGTGCTTGATAAAACATCTTTATGTTTCAACTGCAAATTTTTGAATTTGTCTCCACATTCATATGCTCATTCATCGTACTTCATACTATTATCTCATACGCAATTAGCTGTTTCTAAATTAATGTTATACTCGCACCCTCCTCCCGAAGTATCGAGGCAATCATGAAAATAAATGTTAGCTTCCCCGGTATTTAGCCAACATTTATTTTAAAAGTGCTAGATAATACCGCTTTCTGTTTGAATGGTGAATTGTTTAGTTTGTTTTTACCTCTACATTCATAGGCATATTCATCGTACTTCAGACCATTATCACACACGCATTTAGCTATTTCTAAACGTCTGTCATAATCGCACCTTCCACCAGTAGTATTGGTGCAATTCATGAAGTCACAGTCTGTTACTCTTTCACATTTGTGCCCAGTAGTACCCAGACGACATTCACAGAAACCATAGTTTCCGACGGTTTTACAGATAGCTCCATTTTCACAATCATGATTTCCAACCACACATGTTTCTGAAAAAGAAATTATATCTCAAATTAATTCATTTTATTGAAATATCAAAATGTTATGAAATAATTTGCAGGTCCACTTCTTCTCAATCCTTAAGTTTTAGTTGCGGACATAATTTAATCGCATTCGTAGAATATTTGTACTATAGTATGTTTTGCTTTTATTTGTTCAAGTAATTTTCAAAAATTTAAAATACATTTTTGGGAAAATTCTGCATTTAGGCAAAACGATTAATTTACTTTCAAAGTACTGAATATTTGCAAGTATACAGCGTGCAAAACCGGTCAATGCATTTAAAGTACTCAAAATACTCAAACGTTTTTGGCGTAGACTAAAAATTGTTCAAAGTGTACCCTTTTAGTCACCCGTCACATATTCTAATGGTAAACCACTTACGACCATGAGCTTAATTGCATATTTCGATCAATATCCGTCACATCAGCACAGATACGGGTCTGTGGTGCTATTAGCATTGGAGTTTAAATTTTAAGTACCTCCAATTCCAACTACACTACAAGGACTCATCACAGCAGTTGTGACGGATATTGATCGAAACATGCAATTAAGCTCTTGGTCATAAATGGTTTACCATTAAAAAGTGTGAAGAGTGTCTAAAAGGATACACTTTGAACGTTTTTAATATCTGCTAAAAATTTGATGAGAGTTTGTATCCTTAAATGTATCACTTACCTTTGCAGGTTGTATACTTGTGAAAATACTGTCCTCTGAGAGGTTAAAAATCATTTAAGCTAATCCTGTATTTAGATATATATTTGACTTCGTCATTTTAAGCAAATGTGGCACTGTTTCCTATGTAGTTTTTCTTTTTGTTTACATTGAATTGAATGAAACTATAGCAAAATTGATTTTACTAATAGTTCGTAAGTTACGATTTTTTTTAATTTGAAATAGTACAGTTGCATATATATGCTTATTTAGATATTTAATATTGCTGTAAGGTCAACGTTGCTGTACTGCTAACGTTGCTGCATGTGTTATTTATTTATTTACATTTAATCAAATAAAACTATAATTAAGTCAAAGAATAGTTTCGATTTCATATAACTTTTCATATATTAAATAGTATTAAGAAAAATTTATAACTTTTAATTTAATAATATATTCGGCTTAGTTTTGATTTTATTAGAATTATAAGAAATTTCCCTGTTCCAAGATATTTAAACAATAAGTTTGTATTTACTTTTGCACTTTCCCTGTTCAGTGTCATACTGCAATTCACTTTCTACGCATAAACATTCCGATTCTTCCAACGTCGTGTTATATGCACAAATTTCACCATTCTTATAATTGCATTTCAAATTATATCTTTCATCACAGTCCCACATGTGTTGACATTTGTCTCCATATGTTCCTTTCAAGCAGTGGCAGAATCGTTGATTTCCAAGTTGTAAGCATTCTGCTCCATTGACACAGTCATTTCTATCTTCATCACAAATTGCTGTAAAATGTATACATTGATACATTGCATTAGGTCGCATAAATACATTGCATGAGATTACATTAATGCATTGCATGAGATTATCAGTTAGATGTAATGAATTTTTGAGCATTTATATTTGGTCGTTCTTATTGTATGCAATCCACTCCATTTACAGAGGCCGTGGTGGCTTAGGGAATAGAGCGGTAGAATCCCAAACAGATTGCCCTGGTTCGAATCCCAGCGATAACTGGTCTGTATGAATTTTGCACCCGGCTCACACTAGCCACAGTGCTGACGTAAAATATCCCAAGAGGTAGACGGATCATGGGTTAGAGTCCCCTTGCTATCGGGCTACCCGTCGGAGGTTTCTTGGTTTTTCTCTCCATGAATGTAAATGCAGGTTCGTTCCATCAAAATGTCCTCCACGAAGGCTAGTTTCTCTCAATGCTCGATCCAGGTGTTCCCTTCATTTTTGGGTATCGTTCAAAATTACAAGGCTGCGGAGTTGAACAGTGATATTTGTAAACTCAAAATTGAGTAGACTGTTCAACACCGGTTATAAAATAAAATAAAACTTAGGACCTAATCGAAATATTTGAAAGGTTTTGAAGACCGGAGACCAAAATTACCTTTTTTTCAATATTCAAATATATATATATTTAGGCACATAAAATAATTAATGTACTGAATATATATTTTGAAATAAGCTCTGTTTAAATAAGTATTTTAAATAAACGTAATAATGTTCGTATACTACTCCTCAAAACAATTTTACAAAATGTTCTCACTTTCCTAGGTATTTTTTGTCAGTACGAAAAGATCATAGACTTTATCTAAAAAAATTTCTCAACAGCTATGAACAGTATGCATTTTCATAGCTAAACGGCAACACAATTTTAAGATACAATGATAAAAAAATGAAATTAAAACAATTAAAAAAATACTAGAGCGCGCAATGACTTTAAAAGTTATGTATAACGGAAGCATGCGGGATATTACATGCAACTGGGAAAACGGATAAGTGTAAAATATTTTATCTAAAATTGGATGTTAACACTAGTTTAGAATATATGACTTCAAGTAAGTTATAAAATAATTTTCATTACAATATATATACTTACATTTGGATCTTGTTGAAAATTCTCCTCGTGTGGAAGTTAAATCTGAAAACAATATGCTTACTGTTAATGTTTGGAAGTGTATTTTTTTTATTAGCAATAAAAATATAGACCAAACTACAGTAATAAAAACATGTATCATTTATTTTTTAACTAAAACTGATAAAAAAGTTTCTAATTTCATATGGTGATCTGCCAACATATGAAAACAAAATAAACTAAAATTTTACTTTGCAAAAATTTTTATAATATGCGTTGTTTGGTCCTTAAAAAGTTTAATGTTAGGGTGTACAATTATAGTTTAGTACTTGCATAAAAAGTTAACAGTTTAGCTCTTAATGAGCACATTTAGCTCTGATTAATTTTTGCAAAAAGTGTAATATACACATACAGTTGAATCTTGTCGACAGTTCTCCTGGTGTGGAAGTTAGATCTGAAAACAATTTGCTTACTCTTTATGTTTTGAAATGTATTTGTTATGAATTTACTAAATCAATTTTTTTAGCAATCGAACTATAGACAAAAGTACAGTAATAAAAACATGTATCGTTTATTTTTTAACTAAAACTAATAAAAGAAGTTTTTGAGTGTTTCATGTGGTGATCTTCCAACAAATGAAAACAAAATAAACTAAAATTTTACTCTGACAAAATCTTTACGGTATGCGTTGTTTGATCTTCAAAAAGTTTAATGTTAGGGTGTATAATTATTCTTTAGTACTTGCATAAAAAGGTTAACAGTTTAGCTCCTAATGAACACATGTAGCACTCATTAATTTTTGCAAAAAGTGGAATATATACTTACATTTGAATCTTGTCGACAGTTCTCCTGGTGTGGAAGTTAAATCTGAAAACAATTTGCTTACTTTTTATGTTTTGAAATGTATTTGTTATGAATATACTAAATCAATTCTTTATTGGCAATGAAAATACAGACAAAACTACAGTGATAAAAACATGCATCGTTTATTTTTTAGCTAAAACTAATAAAAGAAGATTCTGATTTCTTGTGGTGATCTTCCAACAAATGAAATTAAAATAAACTAAAATTTTACTCTGACAGCATTTTTACGGTATGCGTTGTTTGATCTTCAGAAAGTTTAATGTTAGGGTGTATAATTATTGTTTAGTACTTGTATAAAAAGGTTAACAGTTTAGCTCCTAATGAGCACATTTAGCACTGTTTAATTTTTGCAAAAAGTGGAATATATACATACATTTCAAGCTTGTCGACAGTTCTCCTGGTGTGGAAGTTAAATCTGAAAACAATTTGCTTACTGTTTATGTTTTGAAATGTATTTGTTATGAATTTACTAAATCAATTCTTTATTAGCAATGAAAATATAGACAAAACTACAGTGATAAAAACATGTATCGTTTATTTTTTAACTAAAACTAATAAAAGAAATTTCTGACTTCTTGTGGTGATCTTCCAACAAATGAAATTAAAATAAACTAAAATTTTACTTCGAAAAAATTTTTATGATGCGCGTTGTTTGGTCTTTAAAAAATTTAATGTTAGGGTGTACAATTATTGCTTAGTACTTGCATAAAAAGGTTAACAGTTTAGCTCTTAATGAACACATTTAGCACTGATTAATTTTCGCAAAAAGTGTAATATATACTTACAGTTGAATCTTGTCGACAGTTCGCCTCGCGTGGAAGTTAAATCTGAAAACAATTTGCTTACTGTTTATGATTTGAAATGTATTTGTTATGAATTTACTAAATCAATTCCTTATTAGCAATGAAAATATAGACAAAACTACAGTGATAAAAACATGTATCGTTTATTTTTTAACTAAAACTAATAAAAGAAATTTCTGACTTCTTGTGGTGATCTTCCAACAAATGAAATTAAAATAAACTAAAATTTTACTCTGACAGCATTTTTACGGTATGCGTTGTTTGATCTTCAGAAAGTTTAATGTTAGGGTGTATAATTATTGTTTAGTACTTGTATAAAAAGGTTAACAGTTTAGCTCCTAATGAACACATTTAGCACTGTTTAATTTTTGCAAAAAGTGGAATATATACATACATTTCAAGCTTGTCGACAGTTCTCCTGGTGTGGAAGTTAAATCTGAAAACAATTTGCTTACTGTTTATGTTTTGAAATGTATTTGTTATGAATTTACTAAATCAATT